ACAGTTATAAGGATAATAAATTCTATGTTAGATGATGTATAATACAGTAGTATGAGGCACAGATGTCTGTAACTTTGTCCTTTCTCATCCTTAGTTCCCAGGATAAGCAGTGACTAAACCATAGTTTTTCCTTACTATTGCTATGAAGTCTTTTTGTGATGAATCCAACATCACTCTTGTTATTTTAGTGCAACAGCTCATGCAGATGGTGCTGTTTGTGAGCATCAGTCACAAACATAACCATTGTTAACATTGGTACTTTATTTTCTATTCAAGGGAAGTCCCAGGTATCGTGCACTCAAAGTTGGCACATATGATTGATTTTTAATCGTACAGTCAGTTTTCAGTTATCTTTCTATTTTTCTTGCTAAATTTCACTTGTTTAATATAGTTTGCTTTCCTCTCTTTTATTGCAGGTGGGAAAATTAGGTATTCCCCTGAAAAGACCACAAGTTTGATCTCAAATCCTGCCCATCTAGGATCTTGAGGATTATCAAGAAGCAAGGACCATTTGGTTAAGTATTTCCTGCAGACTTCTTTCTCATCAGTGCCTGGGAGTCGCACAGCTTGTTCAAAGCAATAGCCATGTGGTAGTGTAGAAAGACGGGGTCTGTACCACCTTTCAACTGATGCAATGCAGGGTAAATAAGTTTGTGCTTGTCTTTTTTCATAGTTGTCTTTTCTTCTAACTTTACCTATTAGTCCTTGGGATGAAGTAAAAAGGAATGTGGTGGTGGCTGGTTCCCTTCCCACCTATGCAGAATATTGTTGCTGGTATGAGGGCTTTGGGGATATGGGAACAGCCTGAGTTGTTGACTTCTCATAGCCAACAACTTCTGGGTTGATTGCACTGCCTAGCTGATGGAGCTGATGCATCAGGGAGTAGTGCTAAGCTTTCTCAGGCTAGGGCTTCTCACGGTTTGAAATTTTGCTACTTTTTTTTTTTAACTGCCTGGCTTTTGGCATAGTCACAGTTTGCAAGGGGCTAACAGTTTGTTCATTTAATCTATGAAGACTGTAAAATGCTGAGACTTTACGACAGTAAGCAGAATGGAAGTATGTGGAAAATAAATGTAGTTTTTGACTGAAAATTTACCAACTTGCTTCTGTCTACCATATTGGTAGTTTCTCTTGCTACAGAAATGTACAGTACATTGACTAGTCTGTATGGATTTATTTCTGTGCATGCAGGTCAGGTTTGGAGGTAGTTCTTGTTGGTTACGTACAAGGCCAGTTTCAGATGTAAGCAAAACCACATTTGCCTTTTTGGTCCCAGTGGTGGTGTAAGCCATGAAGTTGTGCGTCAGATATGGTGTGTGTCCAGTTGTGCCTTTACAGTGACTCATTTTGAAAGGTAAGTGGCTGTAAGATTTGTGCAGTGTGTCAGTGATGTCCAGATTGAAGCAAATAGTCCAACTGCAGCAGCATTTGATGCCCTGCTGATGCAGTTCAAAGATGTGGATTTTGTGCAAACAGAGCCCAACATCAAACCAGCTTGCTCAGGTACTGCTGGCAGGCAAGCTGTTACCTTACCAACTTTCACACAGGCTACAGGTGAGTTCTCATGAAGGTAAAATTCAACTCCATGAGTTGCAGTCCTGTCTCAATGGGGAGTGTCTGGGTACCTGTTGACATCCCTTATCTGCAGAGAGCAACTCAGTGCTCCAGAAGAAGGCCATGAGCACTTGCCCTTTTTAGTTTCCAGGAGACTGACCTGCCCGAATCTCCTGGTTGGCAGCACTGAACACAGCCCTGCTTTGGGGTTTCTTGAGTGATCAAAGTGAAGCTTTTTGTTGCTTGCTTACTTGTTCCTGAAAGAAATGAGCCAGCGTGAGGAAAGACCGTCTGCATCCATACACATCAAAGTCAACAGAGGGGCTTTCATGTTTGCCTTAAACAAGTCCTGTGCCCCTCAAAAAAACCCTCAGCAAGGTCAATTAGAGGAGCTCCCTGTCATGCCTCAGAGCTGTGGGATGAATCACCGCTGTCCATTCCCGGCAGAAAGGTGCTTGAGTGCATCTCCTGGGGGACTTCCTTCCCTGAAGCCCTTACTGGCACCTGCAATCCCTCCATGACCTGCTGCAGCCTGGCAGATGTACCTGACAGGCTGCTAGCATGCCAGCTCACTCTGCTTTGCTCCTCTTCAGGAGATGCAAGGTCTTAATGTTCACTGTTTTCACTGTGCTAGTCCTTGTTCCACCATGCTGGGCTGGCTTTTTAAGTAGAATAAAAGGTTTCTTTTAACATATTTCAGGCTGAGGTTTAGAGGCATTTGGACAGACAGAGTTTACAAGTGAACTGTAAGCTAGTTTGGCACAATGCTTATGCTTAGCTGGACTGGATGACCTAGAGACATATTTTATATTTCCCACAAACCCAGGTTAGCCTGGGAGCTAGCACCTCTCCTTCTGATACTGGCTTGTCTACAGTGAAAGTAAGTTTAGAAATACTTGTAGTCAGTGGTGGAACACTGGAGCTTCCAGTGCTAACCTAAGACTGAGCTAGGACAGATTCCTTGTGTCCTAGAGGTGGCTGTTCTCCCCATAAATCACATGATCACATAATTGTAGGGGTTGGAAGGGACCTCTGTAGATCATCTAGTCCAACCCCTCTGCCAAAGCAGGTTCCCTGCAACAGGTTGCACAGGAAAGTGTCCAGGCGGGTTTTGAACATCTCCAGAGATGGAGACTCCACAACCTCCCTGGGCAGCCTGTTCCAGTGCTGTGTCACCCTCACAGTAAAGAAGTTTTTCCTTAGGTTTGTGTGGAACTTTCGGTGTTCCAGTTTTTGCCCATTGCCCCTTGTCCTGTCACCGGGCACTACCGAAAAGAGCCTGGCCCCATCCCTTTGGCCCCCACACTTCAGGTATTTATAGACATTGATAAGGTCCCCTCTTGGTCTTCTCTTCTCCAGGCTGAAGAGTCCCAGCTCTCTCAGCATTTCCTCATATGGGTGATACTCCAGGCCCCTCATCATCTTTGTGGCCCTCCGCTGGACTCTCTCCAGAAGATCCCTGTCCCTCTTGAACTGGGGAGCCCAGAACTGGACACAGTATTCCAGATGTGGCCTCAGCAGGGCAGAGTAGATGGAGAGGAGAACCTCACTTGACCTGCTGGCCACGCTCTTTTCGATGCACCCCAGGATACTGTCGGCCTTCTTGTCCACGAGGGCACACTGCTGGCTCATGGCCAGCCTGCTGTCCACCAGGACACTAGTGACTAGATGGACACTAGTGACTAGATGGACACTAGTGACTAGATGGGGAGAGAGATCTGTATGTGGCTCAATGAATCTCATCTAGCTGCACTTGAGGTGGCAGAAGAAACATTTTTCGGACTGTCCATGTACCCTATTCTGAAGTTTTCAGCCTGTGGATTCCTGTTCAGCTCTTTTTATAACACTAAAAGCAAGGAGGTGACAATGAACGTTGGTGATGCCATATAAGAAATATTTAAATGAAAGACTCCTCTGGAAGGCTATAAAGGGGAAAAGCACAGGAATGTGCTAATGGAACTTGTCAAGAGACACGTCATCAACAAAATATTGGGGAGAAGGGGAAAAAAAAGATGGTGGGAGCCCTGTGTAGCACCATGCACTCTCTTAGGGCCCAGTCACAAAATAAAACACAGAATCTTGTAAGAAGCAACTGACAGAGCTGAGGTGGAAGCAAACTAGAACAGGAGTCTTAGGTTTTTCTCTGTGCTGTTTGCTTCTCCCAGAGGCAGCAGTTACTTTAGTTGATTAAAACCAAGAAAAACTGTCTAAGGCTTAATTAGACATCCTCTCTTTCATTCTAGGGTGTACGGTTTTCTAGTCACTGGGAGAGCAAAGGAGGAACTTTACTGTGAACACAAGCATTTAAAGTTAGATTTACCTCTTTCTTAAGGCATGTAAGTAGAGGATGGGGAAACATCCTCAGCCATGAACTGGGTTGTCCATTACAGCCATCTTTTTTTTTTTTTCTCCTCTGTGCTTCAAGCTATTTATTCTCACTGGGAGCTTTCTGAGTGGTTAAAGGAGGGTGAGGGTGATAGGAAGCTCCTTATCCTGACCCAAGAATGGGGTTGGTCACTTTTCTCCCTTCCTCCTCCTCTTGGCAAGTTGCTCATTGTGAAAACTATCCTGGTTTGATTTGAAAAATAGATCCATTTCTTGTTTTTGAGAATTTATCAATTGCCAGACAAGTTTTGGTATGTGTTTAAGGTTCTCAACATTGTAGCTGGGTATGAAGTTTACTTTTTCAGGTATACTTCACTATTTATTTAAAATTGTTTTGACACACTGCTGCCAGCATTTGCTTATGGTAAAATAGTTGCAGAAATAACTTTTTTACAAACTTGAAATGCTGTTCATGTTCCCTGGGTGAATTTGTGTTCCTCATTTTGCACTTGATTCTTGTTCTCTATGGACTTAAGCACTCCTAGTACTTGAACAGTGTGCTTTACTTGCACAGCCTTAGTCAATCTAATTATCCTTAGGAAGGACTGAAGTTTCAGTTATTTTGAGTGACATGGCTATTTAGGGCCCTTCTTTTTCAAGAAATTTTATCTCAATTTGACTTTGTGTTCTGAGAAGTTTCATTGTCCTCAGAACAACTGATTGCACTAGTTTTATTAACTGCATGAAGTCTTCACCCAGCTGGGTTTTAATTGAATGTTAAATTACCCAAAGCCCAATTTACTTTTCCAGAAAGTATTTTGTGATCTGTTTCACGTTGGATGTCCTGACTCCAGCTGCTGCAGCAGATGTTTTTTGCTCTCTTTTTGGTGTGCATAAAACGTCTAATATTCTGAAAAAAATACTCTGCAAAATGCAAATCCCTAATGCAGTGTTGTGGTAATGACAGAAATATATATCAAGACAATTTAATGATGCTTAATGTTGCATTGCAGTTTTTGTTAATCTGTGGTAAAAATCACTCCTGTTCTATTTTCCTTCAGTAGTAGCATATGAAGCTGTTTATTAGCACAGAGAAATTTAGGTTGGAAGGGACCTCTGGTGGTCATTTGGTCTAACCTCCTGCTCGAAGTATGTTCAACGGGGTCAGGTAAAGTTTTCCTTGTATCTAATTTAAATTTCCTGTTTCCCAGTTTGTGTCCATTGACTCTTGTCCTTTTACTCTGCACCTCTGAGAAGAGCCTGGATCTGTCATCTCTGCACCCTCTGACTGTTACTGTAGACAGCACTAAGGTCTCCATGGAGCCTTCTCTTCTCCAGGCTGGACAAACCCAGTTCCCTTAGGCTTTCGTGCATCCTGTGCTTCACCTCTCTGGCCGTCTTGATGGCCTTCCATGGGACTTGCCCCAGCATGTCTGTGTCCTTCTGTTACTGGAGATACCAAAACCAGATACAGTACCCCAGATACAGACTTAACCAGTAGTTAGTGGAGAAGAGTAAACACTTCTCTTGACCTGCTGACTACACTCTTGTTAATTCAGCCTGGTACATACTTGACCTTCTTTGCCACAAGGCATATTGCTGACTGATGTTCAGCTGCTTGTCTTTCTCTGCAGAGCTGCTCCCCAGCAGTCATCCCCCAGCCTGTACTGCTGCATGAGGTATTCCCTCTCAGATGCAGGACTCTGCATTTGCACTGGTGATCATCACAAGGTTCCTGTCACTCCAACTTGTCCTGGTCCCTCTGAATAGCAGTCTGCCCTCCAGCCTCTTGACTGTCCCTCACGTAATCTGTGAACATTCGTAATCCACGTAATACAAGTGCACTGCATTTCATTGTAGTATCAGACCCTGAGGGCTACCACTGATAACCAGCTGCCAGCTGAACACTGTAGGGATAATATAACCCTTTGAGCCTGGTAGTCTCACCAGTTCTCCACCCAGATTTCCATGGCAGCATTCATCCTAATCTGCTGAGGTTGGTGGTTTTTGCTATTTAATATTTTTAAGCTATTAAAGCTATATTCAGTCTGAGGAGCCTGATTTTGGTACCTTGTACATTTACAGGCATCTCTGTGGAAGTGGACATAGGTTCAGTTCTTTCCATTAAAGAGAAGACTGGTGACTGGTGGTTGGCTAGACAAGACTGGGGAGGGGATGGGAGGGGATGTGATAGCCTTGTCTGATGAGGCAGTGATACTGGATTTTAAAGGAACAGGGGAAAAGAGGGCCTTTGCAAGCTGAGTGGCTGCTCTTGGGAACAGTGATAAGGAAGACATCCCATAAATTAGAAACTGTTCTCTATAAAATCCAAAGATGTAGTCTCCATTAATGCATTTTGTATCCACAGGTATATATTTATGGAGGTGCAAGATGTCTACTCTGAGGCTGATTTCTAACAGAACCTCCCAGCAGGCATTGTCTAACTCTGATTACACCTGGGAGTACGAGTACTATGAGTATGGACCAGTGTCGTTTGAAGGCCTGAAGGCTCATAAATGTAAGTTCAGTAGAGACATAACTTATTGCAGCTGAGCTTCCCCATCTTAATGTTCCTGCTCTTAATTTGTAACTGATTATTGTACAAAAATCTCTCCTATTTTTTTTTTATTCTCAACAATTAAAAGTACTACTCTATTTATTAGATTATTATAATATTGTTTATTATGCTGTGTCTTTTTGTTGATTGCTTTTCTTGTGCACGAGAGAGCCACAGATTTCTTGCCTGTGGTAGAAATTTGTCAGTACTGAGGAATATCAGACTATCAGGAACAGTTTATAACAGCAAATACAGTCACTGCTGCTTCTGGTAACTACTTGGTATGACCCATCATGCTTTGTTCTTGTTCCTGTGAATGCTAAAAAGGCAGTGGTGGGCAGCCTTACTGCTTTTGTTTTTCTTCATAGAAAATAAATTTAAGGCTTTTAAAAGATTTAAAATGAGAAATTTCTCCTTCTGAAGAAACTTTTGTCATTGGGAAGAGTGTGCTAAATTCAGCATTCTGTTAATACTGGAACTGTTTCACAGTAGAAGTAACGAGTGGAGGACTGGGACCAGAGAGATGAAAAATTCGGGTAGGAATTGAGGGGAAATTTAACTAGGACAGGCTAGTACAGCTGGACCAACACTTACCTAAAATCTAGACAGTGGCTTTGGCTTTTTTTTTTTTTTTTTTTTTTAAGTAGAGATGGTTGTGGGGAGAAAAACAAAAAAAGGAAAAAAAAAAAGTATCACAGACTAACTCAGAATGACTGGATGTGTTTTTTGCAAGCACTTTGCCAAAGAGAAGCAGGCAATCTTGTTTCTTTGTTTCTGAGCTGGATACACTGTGAGAGGGTTTGAGCATTAGTCTTCCTAGTATTGGAGAAGGGTCTCCAGTCTCTATCCAGTGCTGGAGCATTGATCCAGGGTGGGGTACATAATTTCTGCCTCACTTGTCATGATGAGGGCTCAGACTGCGAATGAGGAGTGCCTGCAGTGACAAACAGCACAGCAGAAAGGCTGATCTCCCGTGGCTCTGCACAGTCAGGAGGTTTTGAGGAGGCTCTGTAAGGGACAGAAGAAACTTGTTGAAGTTACTAACACTTAAAAAAACCCCAAAAAAACCTAGAGCAGAATTTTCTTTTTAGCCTGAATTCTACTTGACCTTTTTATCCCCAAAAAGGTCTGTTGATTACTGTCTGTTTTTTTACAAATGTTAGGTACTTGAAAAATGTAGGTTAGCTTCTATCATGTTTCTCATTTATATTCCATTCTTCTACTTAATCAGAGGCCAAACCTGATTACAAAGATTACTGATTACACAGATTAGCTGCAGTGTTATGTACATGCCTTCTTTATAGCTCGGTGTGTCAAAGAGTGTCGTGGGAGAATAAACCATAAATGAGAGTTACCTCTGGATTGAGGAAGGTATAGCGTCAAAACAGATCTTGGGTTGCCATCGAAGTGATTGCCATGCTGAGTGTGGCAGCTCAGCTTTGCTGCCTGGCTGTGCTGTCTGTAGAGCAGGAGGGTTCTGAAGACTCTTACTAGAGAATGGGACAGAAGTAATGACCGCTTTTCAGGTGGAGCTCCACGTACTTAGCAAAGAGGCTAATAGTAGTATTGAATCAGTGACATAGGAAATTCCTTCTATTTGTTTTTCCAAGTTTTTTGGTTTTTGGGGGTTTTTTAAACTGATAGATTGGAGCTGGCTCTGTTTACTTTGGTGTTACTGCGTGCATTCTCAGAGGGCTGAGTTTAATCTAGTAAAGGAACAGTCTATGTCTGTGTTGTGTATGGCATGATATTTCTTGACACGGTATGTTTTTGGAGTGTTTCTTGTTCTAGCTGTTTGCAGCTGAGTTGAGACTTGAGAAATGTGGAGGCAGTGTGATCAGACATTTAACTTCACTGGAATCCTAAGCTGGGGAGGAAGGAGGAGAGGAGGTTACACTGGGGTTGTATTAGGAGGGAGACCTTGAATATTGTCAAAGCAGGGGTGTTAATGAATGCCTGTAACTTATGTTGGAGAGCCTAAAGGGGATTGGACTCTAGTTTAGGTGATGCAGGCTAGCAGTGACACTTGGCCAGCTGTAAAACATCACTGGCCCTTCTTAAAATTAGAAGTGTGTGATTTTTTTTATTGTTACTGTTTTTATTTCTGATACACAAGGTATTTCACCCAAAATGAGAGGGCACTGTTTTGAACCATAAGATGAATTCCACAGGAGAAAGTTGGAGGGTGCTTTCAGATTAATGTTGATTTAATTAATTGTAGGCAAGGGGAGGTTCCTAATAATTTAATGTATATACAAAAGAATTCAGAAGCTTGTTTTCTGAAAGCAGGGAAAAATTTATGCAAAGTGACCTGTGAATAAAAATATTGACAAAACAATCTAATACACAAAAATACATTTAATAAAAAGTGGAGTAATGGAGGTGCGATGAAAATGAGGTGTTCAAATGCCACAGTGACTTTTCAAATATACAGTTGTGAAAAAAAACCCCAGCTGTTTTACAAGCAAAAAGTATGTTCTATCTGAGGAGAAGTGAAGGCAGGAAATAGAAATCAGAAAATCTGGAAAACTAGGCACCAGATGTTTTGTAAATTAAAGCTTTAGAAAGTAAATAGACAAAGATAACCAGGAGATATCTGTGACTGGCAGAGGTAAGAACAAAACTGGATTTTGTGCCTTTGGAACAGAAGAATCCCAAGTAACATTAGAGAGAGGTAAAATAGATAGGGATGACCAGGGAGTCAGAACTGATGCCAGGATGTTATGAGTCTGTCTTAGGAAGGAAAGGAAGGTTGATACTGCAGCTTGAGAAAGTCATGGGATACTTTCCCAATCTATTTGTAACTTTGGACAGAATTATAAAGGTAGTCCTACGTACCATATTTTTTGAATAAATGTTGTGTTATGTGCTGTTTATTGCGGTGAATGAAAAAGGGACGAAAAAGTACTCCGAGCCTTTTTCTGGGTAAAGCAAGCTTCTTTATTAGCAAGAACCCTCGATTCCCTTGTCCCCAGGCTTCCTTATTAGCAAGATTTTCTATTTGGCCAGATTCTCCTCACACAGTTAGCATTTATACATTTTTGTTCTCAAAACAATCAAGCTACACAGGACATAAACCAGGATACTTCTTGGCACACCCACACTCGTGGCTGCTTTCAGCCACATCTCAGTACTCACACTCCCTCAGGTGGTTTTCCAGCCTGACCTTCTTACACATTCATCAACTCCTGTCCTGTGAAGCTTGTTTGAGAACACACTGCAAATTCCAATGTTAACCTTGATCAGTCTTAATTTATCTTCCACCTGTTCAGCACAATTCCCACAGTTTATTTTGTATAAATGTTTAGAAGTTAGTAGGTTGATCATTTGCACTTAAATGAGTGAGACCTAAAGGAAATACTGAGGAGAACTCAGGCCCACTGCCTTCATTTTAAACAGATCCAAAGGATGTAACTGATAAAGCAGCTGGTTAGAAATGCATCAGGAGCCACAGTAAAGCAAGGAAGATGTAGCTTTAGGCTTAGTAAACTTAGGAATTCAGCTGCAGGGGGGGAATACCTAACAAACCACAAGACAGGCTTGTTTTTCAGCATACAGTGCTGGCAGGTGTGATTTTTGTGGGGAGTAGCAGTTCATCAGAATCTTGATTTTTTTTTTTTTTTTTTTTCCTTTTGGTTTTTTTTTCCTTAGTTGATGAGTTCAGTTTTGCAGTTTGAATATAATCCATGTGCATATTTTTTAACATCTTACTTGATCAGACTTTATATTCTGGTTATCAATGCAGTTGCATATCATTGAAGCATGTCTGACTAATTGGTAGGTACTAGTAGTTGTAAATGGTTAAGTGGTAAATTTTTAATGGGAGTATTTATTTTTAGATGAAATTTTCAGGTAAAACAAACTCTGGTAGGATGGCAGATAATAATGAGCTATTGTGTGTTAGTAAGGCCGAACACAAGATGCATCTTGAACCACTGAATACAGGCTATACTTACAGAATGATTCTGAAAATAATTTAGGGCTCATAATGCATGGAATTACAGAAAGAAACTCATACCAGTATGCTTTAAGCAGAAAGGAATATTACAAACTTCACTCCACCCTGCATCATGGAGACCTATACTTGAACCATCCTCTAGTTATTTTCCGAGGGGTTTTGAGAGGAGAAGATGTGGCAGAGGAGAGATGGAATACACTTTGCAGTGGGAAACTTGAAACTTAACCTCCTTAACTTACCAGAAAAAGGGATTAAGGAGTGACTTGATTGTGATAAAGTATTTTCAAGGGAGAAAATCTCAAGTTGCAGCAGGCACTTTGACTTCGCAGAGAAAGAGCAAATTGGTTTCCAGATCTACCTTTTAGTGTGGGTGATATTTGACAGTGGGTGTGTGATTAACCGTTGGGGTCAAGCACTAGGCAGGGTAGCTGATGCCTTGTTTTCTGGTGTCTTTAGTCAGTCCTGTAGGAAATTCAGCAGGCTGGCCGTGCCGTGCCTGCTGCACTGGGTCAGACAGATCACCACGTAGCTTTACAGCCACTGGGGTTCAGTAGTAGCTGTGTAATGAGAGATTAAGGGCTGGTAGATAGGATACCTGTCCTGACCAAGACTTCCCTCTTGTCTGTTTGTATGTTAATTTTTTTTTTAGCTTTTACAGTGGAAGTTTTGAATATTTTCATAAACAAAAAGTAACTAACTGAAATGACAGGTGAAAAAGTACTTGTATACTGTGGGTCCTGGACCAGGTCATATTTTGGGTTGAAGCTCTGTAGCTTTGGGCCATGCTTATCAATTGATTGTTGTCTGGCAATATGTTTGTCCCACTTGGACCTCTCTTAATCAAGTTCCTGGGAGTTTTGAGCTTCCTTCAGGAGCAACTGTGGATCAACTTTGAAGTCACAAGAGGATATAGATTTATTATAAGTAGGACTGGTCATTTATCTGTGGGTCCATTTGCTATGAATGAGAACAGCAGGTATGTATTATGCACACAGCCAAAAAGCCATGCTCTTTCCAATTGCTTCTGTATTTGACTATTGCATTGATGTTTTCCTTTTAATTAACTGGTGGTTTGACTTTTTTTGTCCAAATCCATTTGGCTTCTCTGATATTGTATTGCAGTTTTCTGTATGCAAGTTGGAAACTCAAAAATTATTCAGAAATGTCTTGTGTATATTGGACTGATATTTGTTGAGGTAGCAAATAGTTTACTGGTTCTGCTTGTTTCAGAACCCTCTATCTTACCACTGAAATAAAGCTAGATCTTCCCAAACCTATTGTGTCAAAGAAATACATCAACACCCAGAAACAACAGTTTGGGTCGGAAATAATTTAAAATAGCAGGAGTTCAGTTCTACAGGGACAGAGGTTTTTGCTGAAAATCAAATAATCCTCTCTTCTGAGTTCTAGCACTGAAGTTGTTTCCAAAGAAATGCTTGGAAATGGGCCAGACATCACAAAGGGAGCTGCTCTTATTTTACTAACCAAGAGAATTTGGTGTCTTCCCTCTTTCAGCTTGTTTGTGGTTTGTCCAGACATCAGTAAAATTTGGGCTCAAAATGAGAGCTTCAATGGCAGCTTTCTGTTTAAAACCAGATAACAATAAATCTGATGGTCCTTCCTCTTTGCCACCCAGGAATAAGCTGCAAAGTCTTTTGGGATTTGCAGTCATGCTGCACGTGGAAGGAAACTTTCTGCAAGTGCAGGTGAAATACTGATCGTCTTGTTTTCTCTCTTTCACCAGATTCCATTGTGATTGGATTTTGGGTTGGTCTTGCGGTTTTTGTCATCTTCATGTTTTTTGTCCTGACCCTGCTGACGAAGACAGGAGCACCACATCAAGAGTGAGTCTGAAAACTGGAATGACAAATCCAGCCTGCTAAGTGGTGTGTCTGTTCTTTTGCAGCCCCCGAACAAATAGTGACCGTGCTGACATAGCATTGGCTCAGCACCATCTTGTTCAAGTCCATCCTTGTGAAAGGCTGCATTCTATCTTTGTTTCAAATAATCTTTGTTCCAAGCACTTCTAGGAGACCAGTTCTGTAGAATTGTTATTAATGTGTTCCCTATTTAGCAAATAGTCAGCAGGCATGTGGTAAGAGAAGGGAATAGCTGCATGTATGCATTTTCATAATAAAAGGAAGTTAATGGGTAGGCTGTCAAACAGGTGGCTTTAGATTGCCATTTTGCAAATAAATGGGGTCATTCTAGGTAGGCTGATGTTATGATGGAGTGGAACAGGGATATGTGAATATTGACAGAGTATATACAAATAAAATGCAGTGCAGATGTTAATTTAAGGAAGTTGAAGTCTGGTAGGTTTCCGTGTTTGAGTCCAAAAGGTAGATATCAGTAATATTTACAAAATATTCACTTAATCCTGCAGCTGCCTTAGTCTCAAAGTGTCTCACAGTTTCTGCTGAGAAATTCCAGTAGATGCTGAATTACAGATGAGCTCCACATTAATTTAACACCAAGGTCCCCTGAAAGTCACAAACTAACCTTTTTTTCTTGTTCTTTCTGTCCGATAAGTGTGTGCAGACCATGACTTGCCTCAGCCATTTATCTGCATTTGCACAGCATGCAAGCTGTCAGTGTCCCTTCTTCTCAGAAAGTTTGAACTCAGATCTCCTCTCAGGCTTGTGTGCTGTAAAGTGGAAATAAAAAGCCTTTCTGGAGACAGAGGTTGCTTGCAGGCAGGTAGGGATGATGAGAAGCTGATTGTGAAAGGCAATTGTTAGTGCTTATCACTTCCTAAAGCAGCCTGCCTGTCTCTGCCTACTGAAGGCCCTTTGCTGTTTCATCACATGTAGACAAGGCTCTGAAACTTCATGTAATAGCACATCTCTAGAGACAGGGCCATATTAGAGAGGACATATGTATATTGTGAGCCTCTCCTGTGCTCCTAAATTTTTCCGTCTGTGAGAAGAAAATTGAGGCAGAATTGTTCAGCTTCCCAGAACTGACTTGCTGGTATTTTTGCCTCCCTTATGGACTGTCATAAAAAGTATCCAGATCTTGCTCCCAAATATATGTAAAGTCCTTGTAACTGTTGGTGTGCTGCCTCTTTTCCCTAGATATATTGTTTCTTAGCTGAGCATCTGAGTCTGTGTCCCACATGAGTAATTTGAAAGGGGAAGAACAATGAAGTCAAATATACAACAAAGAGAATTTAATATGGATATTTGTCAAAAGTTTGTACCCGTGTAAAAATGTACTTTCAGGTACCAGAGGCCTGCTTGGTATCTCTCTCCCCCTGTTTTTCTGTGTTCTTTATCAGTGTTCTTGGAACAGGTTGTCTAGAGAGTTTGTGAAACCTCCGTATTTGGTCAACTTCTACATCCAGATAACCTGATCTGAATTCAGAGTTGGCCTTGCCTTCATCAAGGCATTCGGCTAGAGACCTCCAGAAGTCTCTTCTAATCTAAATCTTAATATAATTTTTCTTCAGTTGCTGAAGAGAGCCCAATTACTCCTTTCTATATTTGTTTTAAACTTCCTTTGCAGCTTTGGGAGCTGTGTGCTTGAATGCTCGCCCACTTACTCTGTATGCTGAGTTGGCACCTTTAACAAATTTGAGTCCTATTTTCTTGAGATTTGGTAACCCAAGTGTGTATGGTACTAGAAACAGATCATCCAGGAATACACTAAGGGCAGTGAATACTATTGTTTCCTCTTATTTTTGATACAAGTATATAAAAACTGGAGAACATACCTACCTGTAAAACCAGTGCAGACTGTAGTTTTAGTTTGCCTGCATCTTCTGTCTTTATATCTGACTGGATTCTTCATGACTCATCATTTCGTTAGTGGGCTGTCTTGCAGCCCTCCTTTAGAAACAGATGTTAGTGGGATTCCTAGGTCTTGGGAGAAAGCCAGCCTGATTGATGGACATGTCTCTGACTTCAATAAGTCAATTTGGCTGTTCTTTAAAGTACCATTAACGTGAAAGATAAATGTTTCTGGGTTCAGATGGATGGATCCAAAGTAGAATACTCTGACAGTTCTAGTAGTATGCTTTTCTTGACTCAATATAAAAGGGTATGATAGCATGTACTTTTCAAAATTGTACAAGATGTTCAGAATTGGGTACATTCTCAGACCAGAAGAAAAGGGTCAGGATATGGACAGGGAGAGGTAAAAATGTTATTAGTTATTAGATGCCAGTTGCACTTTTCTTTTGTTTGCTTGCTATTAGCATGTGTAGAACATTAGCTTTTGAGACAAAAAAAAATGTTGACAATCTTTCTGAATTTCTACCTGAAAAGTACTCTCATTCATCACTTGGGAGAAGATAGTATGCTATGTTTGTTTCTGTATTTAAAAAAATGCCTCAAAAATGCTTTTGTGCAATGAATGCATGTGTTCATGTAACATATCTGTACCAAATATTGTCTGGCGTAATCTCAAAGCTTCATGCAGCTGTTGAAGCAGGTTGTACAACCAGGTGCCGTAAGGCAAAATGACTGGGGTTTATTTATTTATTTATTAAGAAATCAATTGGTTTTGGTGAAGGATTCTGGAGTGAAATGCACTCAGCAATGCAGATCCACTGAAACAAAAACTTCTACAGATATATGTATGTGTTTGCTGAAAACTTATTCCAGAAGGCTTCTGAAGTTCAGAGTAGCACTTCTGGATTGGTACAAAGGATCTGTTTAGGTCCCCCAAGTTCCCTTTGGCATGCCAAACCCTACTATTTTGGAGGATTGGCTGTGTATGCCTTTCCATGGTTTGCCAAGTACCCTAGGACACTTCAGAGAGAGAAGGGCTGTTTAAACTATAGAGGAATCTCAAGGGTCAGTCTCAAACCAGTATGCCCCTGTTAGAACAATATACTGACCAAAATGGTCTGTACCCTGACAGTGCACTCAAGTCCAGTGGGCAGAGTGCAGAGCTTAATATCGAATCCAGCAGACCAGAACCCAGCATCACACATTGGAAGATTCCTAGAGAAGGGAGCTTGGATTATTTTGTTGCCAACTGCTTGTTTTGAATGGTTTTCAGTATGTGTGATACTCAGGGTGTCCGGCATTTGCCTTCCTGCTCTCTTGTTGACACTTCTGGGATGTAGAGGGTCCTGTTGGCCCAAATATTGCAAAAGGGATTTGATTGTTCAGGTGGTTGTGCTACTCTTCCGCAGTAAAACTGGGGTTTCTGAAGCTGCTTTTCTTATTTTGAGTGTTCTGAAAAGATAGGCACAGAGGTATCCTTGCATACTGCGGTGAGCAGGACTGTGCAAGTTTCTAGCCCAGTTAAATAAATTCCTCCTCAAACTACAGAAAGATAGTGGTTGTGAATTTTTAGAATCCAAAAATATGACTGTGTAGATCATGTGTTCCCGGCTCATGAGCCCAGCATTATTCTCTTTCGTATGTCCTCAACATCCTGGGTCATTATAAAATTTCTTTACATCTTCTATTCTTCCATTTAGATTAGGTCGCCATTGCCAGTCTTGTGTGCCCCTCTGTAGTCAGCCTTCGCTCCTGTGATAGTTCCACTGGGCTAGCCCTTGGCCAGCAGCCAACACAGCCCTTCACCCACTTCCCCCTCACCCCCAGGGGATAGGGGAGAGGACTGGGGGTGCAGGGAAAAGGAGGCTTGTAGGTTGAGATAAGAACAGTTTAATAATAGAGAGAAAACTTAAAATAATACTAATATTAAAATAGTAAAGATGATGATAACAGTAACAAAATACGCAAGTGCCTGACACCCAATGTTACAGCTCACCCCCCTCCTGACCGAGCCCGGCCTGTTCCCAGATAACGATCCCGGAGGAGCGACAATCCTGAACCGAAACCACAATCCCGGAAGAACGAGAGCCCGAGTGAAAGCCAGAGAGATAGAAAAGAGGAAGAGACCCTCACTGATATACTGAACATGATATGATATGATATGATATGGAATATCCCATTGGCATATCTAACTGTCAATTAAGTTTATTAATTTAAATATTCCTCACCCCCTTAGATCTTGTGCTTGTGGACTAACAGAACATGAAATCCTTCACTTCCAGTGACAAAAATGCAAACACTGGTGTGTTATCAGTGTCTCTGTCACAACAAGTCCCAGGCTGAAAGCAAAACACAGCACTGTTCTAGCTACTAAAAAGAAACCCAGCTCTATTTCAGCTAAAAACCAGGACAGCTCCTTCATAGCTCACTGGGTTATAAACCACTTTCCGCACCTATGAACTAGTTTTACTTCTCTAACAGATGCACTTTAAGCTTTCTTCCAAAGTCACTTCTTGCTAGGCTTATAGCACTTGTCCTTCTCTGAGTGCTTATTTGCCACCTCCACTCTCTGTGCCACAATTCTACATAGAAACTCTTGGTGGCAGACTTGCAAAATTATATATATGCAACTTAAATTTGGAGTGGTGCTTTCTGTTGCATTATAAATGCATAAATGTCAGTTCTGAAGGCTGCCACAGTATTCTTCCAGTCTGCTAACCTCCAGGTGTGTATACAGTAGATCATTACTTAGTTACTGGTCTGTCTTGCATCAGTTAAAATGCTGTGCTTCTACATGCTTCAGGTCAAAATGCAGAATGAGCCAATATAGTTTTGACAAACTAGATGACTACTTTGATTTGAAGGCTTTGATTTGTAACTGATTTTGTTAGGACAGAATTCTCGTATCATGTAATGGAAGTAAATTAGCATTTGAGAAGCAGTAATATTAACTGTGACTGAAAGACTAAAGGGTAGGTATCCTCTGAACTTGAAGGTTTTAGGGGTAGGTTTCTGAAGGTGCCATCTGTGGCTTTTAGAAGCATGTAGGCACTTACCTCCTACTGCAGGCTCGAGGGAATTAAATTACATTTCTCTGAAAATCTCTAAGTGCTGTGTGCACCTTTAGGAGTCCAACTATCTGCCTCCAGTCTCATTTGCCACGTGTTCACATGTAAACAGTATGATTTATTAATTCTTACTCAACAAAACTTACATTCTGAGAACGTTTAGATTTTTCTCTACTCATCCTCTGAATATCTCTACTGCCTTTCAGATGCAAAGAACTTGCATTTTGTGATGACAGCTTATAAATTCAGCCTGACAAAGAATGTGTTCCTATCTGTAAAACTTGCGCTAGCTTGAGCTTTTCTCACCCCCAGCTGTTCGTGGCTTCTGCACGTGTCCCTGCAGATTGGAGCTGGTTTGAGCTAACGCTTCTAGAAAACTCCACGACGTGTTAAGATGTCCTCCCTGGGCTATGTGTCTGAATTGCTGAGGCTGCCAGTCCTTATAGCAGTCCTTAGTTCCTGCTCTCCTAGTTTGGAAATCTGAATGTCATTGACTGAAGGCAGTGGAAAAGATACTTTGATATCTGGACAACCAAGCGCTCAAGTGATGCCTTTAGTGACAGCAGTGCTGCCTGTGTCCCGGAAAGATTTTCTCTTTCAAAGATTTTTCTCAAGTGTTCTAGAAGCCATTTTAAAAAACTTGTTACTACTTGATATCAAGAAGAAATACTGAAGAGTATTTCTAAGCTCATTCAGTGAGCTGATAATTAAAGTATATTGATTACTAGAAGTGCCATTTAAGTGTGCCAGCATTGATAACTTATTCCTATAGAAAATTATCATTACAAATCAAGACTTAAAATAGCTTCAGCAGAAAATAATTAATAGTGCTGGCTTTTAAAGTCTGTTGTGGATGAACTGTAGTGTTTCCTTTCTTTCTGATCATAATGGTTGCTGAAACCCAATTTGCTGTTAAGAACTTAAATAGTTCTACTTTCATGCTTACTGTATTTTTCTTTTTCCTCCTTAGCAATGCAGATCCTTCTGAAAAAAGATTTCGCATGAATAGCTTTGTGGCAGATTTTGGAAGACCTCTTGAGTCGGAGAGGGTCTTTTCTCGTCAAATCGCTGAAGAATCCCGGTCGCTTTTCCATTTCTCTATTAGTGAAGTGGAACATTTGGACAAAGCAAAACAAAGTCAGAAAGCTTCAGGTCTAGAGAGTAATATCCACTTCCATGAAGTTCCCAGGAACAGTGGAATTTTTGAGGAGGACCTAAATTGTCTCACAAAATTTAACATTCCTAACTTTGTGAACACGGAGCAGAACTCTTCACTAGGTGAGGATGATCTCCTCATCTCAGAGCCACCAATCATTTTAGAAAGCAAATCGGTCATGCAATCGTCCCATCGGATCCTTGACTGAAGAGTCTTTTACTTTAAGGGGAATATTCCCATTATTGTCCTGTTCCAAGCCTTTCCTGGCCTTCTGGTATTTTGATAGAAGGTATTTCAGACCTCTGCTTTTTATTGTATGTGAGACTGGCTGTGCTGACAGAACTCAGCTCAGACAAAAGTAAAACACTGAATGCTTTATTCTGTTGCCTTCAGTGGTCTAAACCTTTTGCCCAGCATTATTTTTGCTTACTTATTTTTTTTTTGTTCTTTGTTTTGAAATGACTGCTTATGTCCTGCTTCTGAAGGATGCCATAATGATTTGTGGGGACTATGAAGGCTGGAGTGTGGCACTGGGAGGTGTATGAAAACTCTTCAATCAAGAAGAGTGTAAACCTCAAATTAAGACTGAAGCAAGGAATAAACAGACTGCCCCTTGCGAGGTTCTGCAGCTTCTGCCACTCCCTAAAAGGACACCTGAATCTGGGTGGCACAATGGATATCTGCTTGGCATTAATTTCAGCTTCTGATTCCTAACTGCTTTTTGGTGCAGGTTAAATCCAAATTACAAAGTTTATAGAGGGAATACCTTCCGTATTAAGTTCCATGGTTACAGTTTACAAAATACTATCACCACCTGCTGCTGAGTAAAAGCAAACTGGTGCCTGTATTTATAGTGCTTCAGAGTGATGTTCTGACAGCTGCCCAGTGATGACCTGAAATTAGTATTCTACATACAAACAGTAATTTGATTTAATTTTTTTTTTAAATTGTTGATATGAATTTCCAGTTCGGTAAGTGCAAGATTCAGTAGCTAAATCACAGGAAACCAGATAAAAACTATTCTTCTTTTGCTAGTGGAGTTATAAATCACAGGAAACCAGATAAAAACTATTCTTTTGCCAATAGAGTTACTATATGCAGACGGTGGTGGTATGTTAAGCTGGTTTTAGGTTTGCTTATAGGCCGAACCTTCCTATGCTATTTGGCTCTATAAAGAGCGCTCTCTGGACTCGTGGGCCAGTGAAGGGCTAGCAGCCTTTGAGTTGCTGAGAGGACCAGCTCCAAAGGCATAGCTGAGCTGCACTTGCTCCATCTTACTTTTGTACTCAGTTGGGATGGTGTTGCAGTCACAGCTGTTCTCCCAGGGAGAGGTTTGTTAAGGGGTTGAATTAGGTGTATTTTCAACCTTGTTGAAGCTTATTTTTTAGAGAAAGAATAAGGTTCTGAACCTTAGCCAGTACTTTAATTATGTTTCAGCTTTCTTCAAGAGATGGGTAACCAATGGTCAAATGGTTTTAGGGGAAGCACATAAGATGCAGAGGAACCAGGTTCACATCCTTTGCTGGATTTGAAGTAAGAGTGCTCTGCAGGAAGTTCTTAGCTGAAATGAAACAAGTGAATTCAAGATAACTGGGTTTTCTTGAAATTAACCTGCTTTGTATGCAACATGTTTGTGTTGTAGTGAAAATGTAGCACTGGCCTGCTGATACATTCTTTTGACACTTAAATGCTGATGAATTCATTCTCCCTTCACCTGACAAATAGAAAAAATAGCAAGTGCATGTAAAGAAGTGGAAGAAACCGCTTTTGTTTTCATGTCCTGTGCCCTTATTATAAATCACTTTTATACCTAAATTTCCTGTTTTCAAATGTAGTTCTTGAACTACTTCCTAGTGTTTCAAGTAATGGGATTATACTTAAACCAAAACAGAGACTGTTTAAAATGAGCAGATTATTACTGAAAATAGTTCCCAGGAGAAGACCGAGGTGCACCCTGTTATAAATGAGCGTAGCTGCATGGGTTGTAACGTAGGTCTCCAGTTCGCTGCTTCGGGTGCGAAAAAGGCCTCCTTTTACAGTAAGTACTGGACCATGAGCGAGTATGAAAACTGTAGCTGTGGATTTTCCTTTTCCCAAATTAAGACATTTGGGAAATCTGCCTTCTGAAGGTGGCAGCTGCATCCTCCTGAGGCAGCTCAAACAACTGTGAGCTATCTAATGGTTAAACTTTTGCCTGAACTGAAGCTCAGTATTGTTCTTGCTAACAAGCCCTGGGACTGCTACTAAACGTGGCTTTTATAGCCTATTTCTGGATGAGTGAGCTGCCTTCAGTGATGTTTGATCTATTCAATTTTTATTTTTTTCCTTTGCCATGCTTGAAAACAGAAATGCTGCTTAAATGAAGGGGAAATCTCTGTAGAATCTATCTCCTCTGCAATCGAGAAATGAAGCTCATTTTTAAATTGTTTAAAACTAGGTTTCAGAATAATGCTGGTCTGGTTTTAGAAAAAGAAAAGCTTGCTATTCCCAGTGGGCTAACCTAAGCTTTTCTTCTGCTGCCTTGAATCTCTGTGGCTTTTGTTTGAATGTGCATCAGCTACTTTGGGGAGAAAGGAGAAGCATTCATGTATACGTATGCTGGTGAGACTTAACACCTAGATGAAAGATATTTAATAAAGTGATCAAGGGAAAATACCAACTTAATTTACAACACATTTGAATTATGTTGCTGTTGTGTTCTTAGGGTCCTTCTGAAGCATGTATTAATCCTGCAAAAGTATTTAAGTGTTTAGTTATTGCTTCTACTTTTTTTTGGTTCTACTTTTTCAATCTTATTTCCCTTATATGTCTAAAGTCCTTCACACTATTTTTTACAGAAAAATAACCTGGCCCCACTGCACAGACTTCAGAAGCACTGTGGCAGCAATGCAGTCTGATTCGGATTTTTGCTTTTCCTCTGCATTTGAGCAGAGTCAAAGGCAAATGCAGAAACTGCAGTTTTTGAAAGCAGTTATTTTAAAGCTGTTCTTTCTTTTTCTTTTGTAAGAACTAACAGATACAATGTTTTGCCTCAGAGAAAAGGGGATTGGTGTAATAATCCACTTTGATTAACATATTTTAAAAAAAATTACCTTTCCCCAGAAAACCAAGATGCGTTGATTCACTATGAAGTGAACAGAAAGGGTTATGACCAGGGTAATCCTTCAAAACAAATATCTAGAATTTAATGGTGTTTGAAAATGGAATTTTTGCAAGTTTTCTTACTGCTTGGGCTGTTTGTTTCAGGGCCTTTTCTCAAGATTCACTATAAATGCATCACCTCTGGTAAATTTAACTCCATGGAGAGTTCCCTTAAGATGAATGCATATGTTTGTTTGCATAAACATGCATTGTATTCTCTAAGAACTTTACTTAGTAAAGTTATGTATTCCAGTTTTCAAAGGTGAATATTTGTGAAATATTCTGTGTAAACAAGTTTTACTTGTGTACCTTTTTTATTTACAAAAAAAAAAAAAAAAAAAGACAAACCCTACAACCTAAAATCAGAAAATGCCTGCTCCACAGAGAAAATAAATGGAAAGGTAAAACCATGACCTTCTCTCCTAAGTATGGTCTCCAAGGCTAAAATGTGAAGTAAGTGATGTGTGTTTGTCATGCAGTTGAGTAGTTATGCACCTGAGCTGTACATCTTGAATACTCTAATACTGACTTTTTTTTTGCTACTCTGACTAAAAGAACCCCACAACACCCAAAGGAGGAATTCAAACGTGCTTTTTCCCCCTTCTACTCTGCCCTATCCTCCTGGCAGTGAACGGTGACAAAGCTAAATCCATCAAGGGGAGAGTCTGCAGAGCTGGACTGAGCTCATTCAGTAGCCTCTGGTATTGACAGGTAGTGAGGACAGCACAGAGCCAGAGCCTTAACCACATATTCTCTCAGCAAGATCACAGATCTTGGTTTTGGAAAAGAAGGATGTAGTTAGCTGTATGAAAGGCTAAGCATTGCCACTGAAAGTTAGCAGAGGACTTTGTTCAAAGAGTCACACCAGCATTTGATGTTTGCCCCCCCAGCCCCTTCCCTGCAGAACTGGATTTGCACAGCTAGTGCTAGTATGCAGTTCTGTTTTCCTTCTTTCTTCCAGAATAGGCTAAATACTGGACAGTGTCAGACTTCAAAATGTATCATATACTATCAAATAAAGCCTTCATCTGTTATAACCTTTTTAATTTGTTACATGAACAATTTTGAAATGTAGTTCAGAAAACGTGAAAGAACACACATGCCACAAATGCCCCGATAAGACCTGATATTCTGCACACCCCATTTTCCTGTCTTGAAGCAAATGTCGTCTCTGTTATCTAGGTCACTGAGTCACCCAGCCAGCTGCTCACTTCATTTCCTAAAAGCTTCAAATATGACAATTCAAATTATTATACTCCAGCTGCTTTGCTGTAAACAGATGAATTCCAGCTAAACATAAGGCAATGATTCAAATAAATGATGATTAAGATTTCTTTTAATTCATTCATTATAATGCCTCCTGGAAATGCAGGATGAAACAGTACGGCATAAGAAAAGGGAAAACATACAAGAGGAGTATAAATATATATAATTCTGTTACTCTCTGAAAGACCCCACTGAAATCCTCAGTGGAATACAGTAAGAGCTGATGACCTGTTCTGTCAGTCTTTGCTCCATTTCAGGGTATTTTCCCCTTTCTGTACTGGTAAGACTGGTGGTGAGTCAAGAACTGAAAACTCTTTTAGCAGAGAAGTTAGTTAGTTAGTCTTAGTTGCCCCAGACCATTACTAAAGTTGTTCAAGACCAGAGATAGTCTGTTACTGTATAGAGTGCCCACTGCGTGGTAAATGCCTAAACACTAAAGACCATGCTATTTAAAAAAAAAATATCTCACTTCAGGTCACACATTTTAATAGTGTTACACGTATAGCAAATGGTACTGGAAATAAACAGTAAGTTGAAATTATTCAGTTTTATCCTTTTCATTTGCAAAATAGCCCCAAATCAAGAAAATACGGCATATTTACACATAGCTGATATTTTATGTACAAAGCATTATTATATTTACACATTTTATGAATACAGACTAATACTTAATTATTGGGGACACCCATAGTAAAAAATACTGAAGTATCTGAATATGAAACAACCAAGTCTACTACATTAATTGCCAAATGACCATCTTCTTTTTATATCTATATAAGTGCATATACTCTCTCCCTTTATGTTTTATGTGTGTGTATACACTAAAAAAAAAATTCCTTGCACTGTTGCTTACTGCCTGTGCCTCTATGGTATAACTTGTTACACTGTTTTGTTCTTTATGCATGCTCAGTCACCTGCTCATATAAGCTGAAACACGTTTACTGCTGGTCCCTGAAGAAGCGTGATACAT